GGGGGTAATTAAGGCTGTTAGTAGAGGAGTAAAGACATGAAAAGTGCGGATTTGGTAGGTAGATAGGCCATAATACCGAATATTAAAAGAAACTGAGGCTGCCATCATCTTCTTCATGTTCTTCAGGATCAAAGTCAAGTGCGTAGAGGTTGATGGACGCATTTAACTTTACCACGAGCTGAGTGGTCGAACAAGGTTGAAGAAGCTAGGGCAAACGAGTTGAAAAAGTGGCTTGTCGCAATCAACGGCAATCTAGCCACTACTATGGTTTATTGTCACGTATTACTTAATAGAAAACCAAGACGTATCCGCTTGTTGTTAATAGACACGTTATGGTGCCTCGCGTATTTGTAGAAGACTTGGACGTCGGCACCGTACAGGAAGGAGACGCATACAATCCGGTCGCCACCGAAGATCCCGAAAAGCATGCCGCTATTGACATGTGCAACAATGTCCTCGAGAGTGGCTGGAAAGAAATGTATGGTCTCAAGCGTACGTCTCTCGGCCAGTGTATCACTGGGCTTGGGTAGCGGCCACGACCAAGGGTCCTGTTGCTGGAAGAGGAAGCGAGCTATGGCCGCAGCCCAGGCCACAAGAGGCATGGCGGATCTCCGGGGATCTGAGCTTGGCAGATGCCCTGCGCCATGACGCGCTCCAGTCGCGCTTTCCTAAATTTTCGGAGGCCGCCAAGTGCAACACCGCGCAACCTGCCAGTTGATGGATCGCAACCATGGGCCCGCCTCTTCGCCGCAACCCCAGCGGCAGCTAGCCGAGTCCCTCCCTGCGAGCACCAGCGAAGGCGGCAGCTCGCTCATCGCTCAGCTTACAGGCAATCCCTATTTCACTGCTGTCAGTCTGGTCCAAGACGCATGCGCCAGGACGCGTTGCTGACGACATATTCCCAGGGCTTCGGTCTGGCCGGCCTTGCTACCTTTGGTCGCCTAGCTCAACAGGGCGTCAAGCGCGGTGCTGTTCTCCTCCGCCGTCGCATGCTCGTCGAATTGGAAATCACAAAGAACGACGATGCCTACCCGTGGTTGCTGCAATGGATGTACCAGCGCGGGCACTCGTTAGGATCGGAGGCTGCTGCTGAAGCTGTGCGGTACGTGGTCGCTCTGCCCACTGGGGTCAACGGTGTTCTGATGGACAGTCCAGTGACACTGCAAGTCGCGGCTTGTTCGATGCGCTCGCCCGCCGGATTACTCCCCGAATGCACCACCTCCAGCTCAACACAAGCACCTACAAGCGTGCCGACGGCGCACAAGTGACTGATTTTTATCTTCAACCCGGACATGGAAAGCACATCATGCGGTACAAAAACGCTTGGATGCTGGTCAATCGAGAACGCCAGGGCAATCATCTGGACACCAATGGCGAGCCCTTCGAGACGGTCACACTCACGACACTGCAAGCTCACAAGCACGTCTTTGAGCAACTCTTTGCCGAAGCCCACGAGATGGCACAGCAGAACCAAGAAGGCAAAACACTCGTCCTTGTGCCGGACGCCTTTGACTGGAAGCCTTTCGGGCAACCGAAGCGGAAGCGGCCGCTCGAGTCGGTGGTGCTCGAGGAGGGGGTCAAGGAGCGTCTGGTCCAGGATCTGCAGGAATTCATCCAGAAGCGAGAGTGGTACTTTGACCGGGGAATTCCGTATCGAAGGGGCTATTTGCTGTACGGCCCGCCGGGGACGGGCAAAAGCTCGGTTATCGAGGCAATTGCGGGTCACTTAAATTTCAACATCGCAATGCTCAACCTGAGCCAGCGGGGCATGACCGACGACAGGCTGCAATTCATGCTGACCAAGGTACCTCCGCGGACCCTGGTGCTCCTGGAAGATGCAGACGCGGCATGGGTGAACCGCAAACAGGCCGATGGGGACGGGTACTCGGGGGCATCGGTCACCTTCTCCGGGCTGCTCAACGCGATGGACGGCGTTGCGAGCGCAGAAGAGCGCATACTCTTCTTGACGACGAACCATGTGGAACGTTTGGATGAGGCTTTGATTCGGCCCGGGCGAGTGGATGTCACGGTGCGCATAGGAGAGGCAACGGATTGGCAGATCCAGCAGCTGTTGGAACGGTTTTACGGCGAGGCGGATCCCGACGGCGCGGGCCGGAGGAGGTTTTTGGCAAAGGCGCGCGAGCTCGGCCTCGTGGGCGCGCTGAGCCCAGCGGAGCTCCAGGGGCTGTTCCTCTACAACAAGGAGGATCTCGAGGGCGCGATTGCAAGTTTGGACGAGGTTGCATTGATGCACGCGCATCTGGCGCGCAAGCTGAACTCGGCGGACGAATGAGGGCGCGGCGGCGGGGCAGAAGCCCGTAGTAGCAGGTATGAAAGCACTACTGTGGCACTACTGTTGTAGGGACCCATGCGTGCAACCGGCGGGAGGGGCGGAAAGCGAGGCTGGCAGCGTCTCGCAGCGTCTCGCAGCGTCTCGGTGCTATTTGTCGGCAGCGGGCTGCAAGGGACGGGCCTGCGGGTTTGGGCGGTCGCTCCGAGGTGACGACAGCGGGCCGGCGGCATGTCATGCGCGCATGCGGAAAGATGCGTGACAAGCAAAGAAAAAATCCTGCGATCGCTGCTGGGGGGGTGCTCACCGCCGCGCGTGCCGCTGCAAAGGCGCGCAAGGCCCCCGTGTTGGGTCACGTTCCGCATTTCGCCGCTTTATCGTACGGCGGATCTAGCCTTGTTATCTGATGGAAGAGCCTGCGCAAGCCCCAAGCGTCCCAGAAGCCTGGCTCGCAGCCGTGTTAAGGCTCCTAGTGACGCGCCGTCGCATGCAGGCCTCCGAGGTCGCGGAAAAGGCGCCGGGCAGTCCTTCCACGTCAGGAGCGTGTTGTCACGTCTAACGACCACGCCTCGTCCGCCGCGCCCAAGCTAGATGGCACGCCCAAGCCGCAATCCCGAAGCACAAAAAAAGCAACCCTCTGCATCAGCCACCTCTCCGATGCTGCCTGTCCACCTCTCCCTCCCCGCGCCGTGCCACCACACCCTCACGCCTGCCTGCCACCCTCTGCCACATTTTCCTCCGCCCTCGGCGACTCCCACGCGCCGGGCCCCAGCACTGTCCCCCGCCCGCGCACCACCATGTCGAAGGTCCCGCTGCTGATGCGCTCGTCGCCCGCCCAGGGCACCGGCTCCTACGGCGCTCTGCCCGTCCAGATGCTGAGCACCAGCGCCGAGAGCTCTGCCGACGAGGGCATGCGCGACCTCGACCACGCAGTTCGCTCGGGCAAGCGCAAGGCCACCAGTCGCCTACGCGAGGCTGACACCATAACGGAGGACGACCCCGAGTCGAGCAAGTCGACGCGCAGTCGCTTTGCTTCGACTGGTCGGCTGCTGGACCGCAAGGGCTCCAGGCGCAGCCGCAGGAAGAGCTTGCCAAATTTCAACCTGCCCGACGAGCACCCCACCGCCGTCGAGGCGTGGGTAGGCAATCTGGACGAAGAGATGGAATCTGACGAAGACATGCGCTCAGACTCGGGCCGTTCGAATTCGGATTCAGGCCACTCCGACAGCTCTGAGGCCATAAACATCGACGGTCCCGAGGGCAGTGCCGACGCCGGGGAAGGATCCCAGAACAAGGCGGCTGAGGAGAGCCCTGCAGACGACTCGCCCTATCCCCAGGTGCGAGCGGCGGTGCGGCCCTCTGACGACACCTCTCTGTCTATCAATACCCCCCGGATGTGGACCTTGTCCATGCTCTTCTCCATCCTCGGCTCCTCGACCAATTTGTTCTTTTCTCTCAGATACCCTAGCGTTAGCATCACGCCGGTCATCGCGCTCCTGCTTGTCCACCCTCTTGGCCTGCTGTGGGATCAGCTTTTGAAACGTCCCGACGACCCTGCTGAGGTTTTCACGAATGGATCCATCCAACACAGGGCTGCAGACTCGCAAGAATACGGCGTTTCAAACGGCGCGATTGGCCTCAGAGACCACGATGGAGATCGCAACGGGGAAAAGGGCCGGAGTTGGGCACGCAGTCTTCGGCTGTGGCTCGCGCAAGGAAGGTGGAACGAAAAAGAGCATTGCTGCGTGTACATCAGCAGTAACGTCTCGTTTGGATTTGCTTTTGCTACCGATGTATGCACGTCTTGCGCATGTTTGACGCACAGGCTCGCTAACGCACTGTCCAGGTCATCGTCGAGCAGTCTATGTTCTATCACCAAAAGCTCACCATCACCTATCAAATCCTCCTCACTATTTCCACTCAGGTCCTGGGGTATGCTCTTGCAGGTCTTACCCGACGCTTCCTTGTCCGACCCAGCGGAATGATCTGGCCCGGCACCTTGATTTCAACATCCATGTTTTCCACCCTGCATAAGCAAGACAATGCACCAGCGAACGGATGGCATATCTCACGCATGAGGTTCTTCCTCTATATTTTCTTGGGGTCCGCGGCATTCTATTTCCTCCCGGGCCTGCTTTTCCCTGCTCTGAGCTATTTCAACGTCATCACATGGTTTGCGCCCAAGAACGTCGTCGTTGCGAATTTGGTGAGCCTTTTACGCCGTTTCACAGCCGGACTGGACACTGACAGTCATTCAGTTCGGTGTTGCCTCTGGTCTCGGATTGTTTCCTATGACGTTCGATTGGTCGCAGATTGCGTACATTGGCTCCCCGTTGGTTGTGCCTTTCTGGGCTGCTCTCAACATTGTCGGAGGCCTGGTGGTGGTCATGTGGTTCATGGCTCCCATCATGTGTATGTGCTTTTCATGCGGTGTGCTCTGAACTCTGAACACCTGCTAACATATTCCAGACTACATGAACGTCATGTATTCGTCCTACATGCCAATCTTGTCGGCCGCCGTCTTCGACAACACTGGTAAGCCATACGATGTCAGCAAGATTCTCACCGACAACTTCCTTTTCGACGAGAAGGCCTACGAGAATTACAGCCGTGTGTTCCTGCCAATAACCTATGTGTTGAGCTATGCGCTACAATTTGCAGCTCTCACTGCGCTGCTCACACATACTGCGTGTTGGCACGGAAAGGATATTCTGCGGCAATGGAAAGCATCCTGGAAAGAGATCAAAGGACAGAGCGAGCAGCCCGCGTATCAGCAAGTCCCTCAGGAAGAACGGTCCCTGCGCCACAAGAAGTCGACCCGTAGCATGACAGCCTCCATGCCCGACCTGGACAATATGATGGGTGCGGAGGATGTCCACAACCGGTTAATGAGGAGATATAAAGATGCGCCGATGTCGTGGTACCTCTTGACAGGTGTCCTTATGACCGCCATTGGCATGTTTGTGGTGGAATAGTAAGTTTCCTCAGAAGCTATTACGCGAGCAGCTCCTGACTTGGTCCCAGCTACCCCATCCACCTGCCTTGGTACGGTCTATTGCTCGCGCTAGGCATTTGCACCCTCCTCTTCATCCCCATCGGCATCGTCATGGCGATTACCAACCAGCAAAGCAGCCTTTACCTTATCTGTCAGCTCATCTGCGGTGTGATCTTCCCTGGACGACCGGTTGCGAACATGGTGTTTGTGACGTACGGCTACATCACGTCCACTCAAGGCCTGAAGTTTTCGTCGGATCTCAAACTTGGCCACTACATGAAAATCCCGCCAAGGATTCTTTTCGCGCTCCAACTCGCAGCAACGGTTGTGTCCAGCCTTACGCAGATTGGCGTTTTGAACTGGATGCTAGGGAACATCCCTGGCATCTGCACGCCAGAGGCCATCAACGGCTTCAACTGCCCAATCGCCCGGGTTCACTTCAACGGAAGCATTCTCTGGGGTGTCGTTGGCCCGGCGAGGTTTTTCGGCCCTGGAGCGTTGTACCGACCGCTCGTCTGGGCGTTCCTACTCGGCGCCGTCACACCTGTCGGGGTGTGGCTCCTCGGGCGGAGGCAGAAGCATAGCGTTTGGCGAAAGGTCAACCTTCCGGTGCTCTTTGGCAGTCTAAGCTGGATTCCGCCGGCAACAGGTCTCAATTTCTCGGTCTGGGCCGTGGTTTGCTGGATCTTCAACGACTTCATCCGAACTCGCCATAACGCGTGGTGGAAGAAATACACCATGACGCTGTCGGCAGCGCTTGACTCGGGTGTCGCGGTCGGCGTGGTCATCGTATTCTTCGCGGTCATATACCCGGGTTTCAACAAGGGATTCAGCTGGTGGGGCACCGAAATCTTCAAGCAGGTATGTTTGGCCCCCCATGATAGTACGAAAGACAGCGAACTGACATATTTCTCCTTAGGGCTGCGATTGGCATGCATGCTCGTACAAGACCGTCGAACCCGGAGATCGCTTCGGCCCCGACACATGGTGATGATGAACACGAAAGGAAACCACAAGAATGCACGGCCTCCTTAGTAACGACGATTCGGGGATGCGCGAGATGAAGCGGTCCCGGAACCTCTCATGATACCCTTCTCTTCGATGATTGAACATTTCGCGTAGACCGTGATTGAGCAGCATGTTGAGTATTGTTTGATTATTTTTAGCATTGCGGCCCCGGCTTTCGACAAGCATTTGGTTTTGCGGCATCATTTATTCAAAATTTCGATTGCCTTGTTCTGGCTTTCCGTAGACGCATGAGCTGTCCTTTGTGTTTCGTTGAGGTTTGCAGTGGGCATGCATGGCAAGGCGGTAGAGAAGCATAGCATATAACGGTTTGGTTTGTTGCAATCTTGGTGGAAGCAAACGGCATAAGCAGGCAAGTCCTGGAAGACTTTGGGTTTTTCTGAGCACGGCTGCGAAAGTGCGAGCATCTCGCAGTCATCTGGATGGATAAGGCGGGCAGCATGGGTCCTAGATGAGCTTATTTCGCAATGGAGTGGCAAGAACGAACCGCCGTTCGATATATGTGATTAAGATGCAGCCTCGCCAAGTGCACCAAGCCGTCTCAGAGGAGCACAGTCGTCGAGTGGCGCCGTTTCGGGGAATGCGGAGTGGGTGTGCATAGGTAAGCTCGATGTGCACGTGACCTCGTTGAGACCACTTCAACACCGTGAGCTAAGCTAGGCCGCAGTCTTTCCCGCGCACATCCACCACAACCCAGCTGCACGCCCGCCACACGTTCTCTCTTCTCGTCTGCTTACTTGTCCGATCGCTACATTAGCACTTCCGCTCGCCGCGTTACCGACCCCGACGCCGACACCGACCCCGACACCTCGCACCCGCAATCGCCTAGCCTCTCCCCCGCGACACGTATACGCAGCTCCTGGGCGACCCTCTCCCCATCTGCGCACCTGCTCACCTCACCCACCCACTTCCGGGAAACATGTCGAATTACTACACATCCCCCAATGCGGGGCCGTCGGCTGCATATGGCGGCCAGCCCGGCGCTGCAGCGCAGAACCTCAACTTCTACCAATCCTCGTACGCAGCGCAGCCCGTATCGGGACACACGACACCCTTTCAGGCGTACAACGGTGGCGCTGCGGCCAACGCCTACGCCGGCGCGGGCTTTGGAGGCATGGGCAACATGGCGGGCCCGAGCGGCTTCGGCGGAGCGGTGCCCGGTGTGAGCGGCAGGATGGGCGAGCAGGGCGGACTGCGGACGGGTTGGTTGGCGGCATTTGGGACCGAGGGCTACGACGGCGAGCCGCCGCTGTTGGAAGAGCTGGGTGTGAACTTTGGACACATCAAGATGAAGGTGAGTGGGTGTTTGCGGCGCGTACGGGGGTTGGGATGCCGTGGAGGCAATGTACCAACGTGCTAACGGTGCGGCCTCGACAGACTCTTACGGTGCTGAACCCGCTGGCGAGAATAGATCAGCACATCATGGACGACTCGGACCTGGCGGGCCCGATCCTGTTCTTCTTGCTGTTCGGTACCTTCTTGCTCTTTGTAGGTTCCAGTCCGCCGTCCACACGGCGCAACCGCTAACCATGCGAACAGTCCGGCAAGGTACACTTCGGCTACATCTACGGTCTGGCGCTACTCGGTAGCACCTCTCTCCACATGATCCTGTCCCTCATGTCTCCGCCCGTCGACGCGGCAACGGCCAGCGCATCGGGCCACCCGTCGCACCCCACCACGTCATCGCACTTTTCTTCGACCCTCACATTCCCCCGCTCTGCATCGGTACTCGGATACTGCCTCCTGCCGATGGTGCTGACGTCGTTAATTGGCATCGCTGTGCCCATGGACGGCCCATTCGGATACATCTTGACGACGGCGGCCATCATGTGGTGTACGTACAGCAGCAGCGCCATGTTCTGCGCAGTCGGTCGCATGAGCGGTATGCGCGGCCTTGTGGCTTACCCGTTGGGGCTGTTCTACGTGGGATTCGGGATCATGGCCATCTTCAGCAGCAGGGGAACGGGCAGCTTGGCGGCCAAGACGGCGGGTGTGTAGAGGGCTATGGGGAAACAAGGGGACGGGCGGCTTGGAGCTTTCTTTGTGCGTCGATTTTAGCGTTGTGACGGGAGGGTGCTAGAATGCATGCATTGGAAGGAGTGACGCGGAATTGTACGATGGAGCTGACGGGACTGCTAGGGGCAAAGGAAAAGCAAGGCGTCTTTGAGTGGATAGACGAGGCATGTATGACCTGTCTTTGGTATCAGTAAATTAATCGAAAAGACATGTCAAGCTGCGATCTAAGCGGAGCGTGCGATGTGCCCAACCGGCATCTACTTAGCGCCGCGTGCTCGGCAGCGGGATGCGTCCTGCCGAATGACGCATACTAGGTACCTAGGTGATCCCGGTGCATCTCCCTCCATTTCTCATCTCTTCTCCACATCCACCGCCGCCGGTCAGCTAACACGCGCTGCGAAGGTAGCACCCATAACCATCCTTACACGCGCTGGGCAAGTGACGACCCTCGAGCTCCAACCCAATCGCATGTTTACGTCCGACTGCAATCGCTCTGCTTTCCGCGTCCATCTTCTACTTGTTTTACCTTTACTACTCACCTTGTGTAGCAGCTTCCCGCGCGCAACGCGTTCGGTCCGGTCGCTTCAAAGATCTTAGACGGCCTCACGACCATTTGTAGAAGAAGAGCTTGGATAAGGTTTTATCTTCCATCGCCAGCACGCTACTACGAGATTCGCCCAAGATGGTGCAGCCAACCGCCAACTCCTCGGGCGCTGCTGGAGACATCTCCGTGAGGGAGTGGATCTGCTGGGTGGGTACCTTCCACGCCGTCCACCGGCTTCAATGCTTTCTTCGCCCGCCACTTGTGTCGCTCAAGCCTCCACCTTCTGTCGCCAGTCATTCGAACCGCAGACTAACCTCTCGCGCGCACGCACAGGAAGGCGAAGCCCCGGTCGAGCCCACATCGACCCTCGTCCTCACTGCACCTAGCAACACCTTTCTCGACACACGGCTGCTGCTCCCGACGCCCTTCACGCCGACCGCGGAGCGGCCTCTGCCCAACACGGGCGGGCCGCTCGACCGCCTCGAGTGGGCCTTCTCGGGCGTGTCAGAGACGCTGCCGCCCATCGTCATGTCGCAGACGCAGCACGTGGCCGCCCACTCGCACGCGCCGCCTCTGGCATCCGTCGACTACCGTCGCCTGTGCGACTTCAGCAGCAGCGGCGGCGGCACGGTGACGGTGCCGCGGAAGCGCTGGAACCACGTCATCGACAGCAAATGCGTCGCACCTGGCCAGAAGCCGGCGCCCGACGAGGGCGAGATGTACGCGGTCGCGGGCCGGCCCGAGGCGTGCTTGGAGATTGGCAAGATGGAGCGGGAGAAGGGGAGTGGTGTCGTGAGCCGGTACCAGGAGTTGTGGGTGTCGGCGGAGCCGAGGGTGAGATTGTCCTGACTTTTTCCTTCCCGGTCCATTTCTTGCTTCCCCCTTCGCGATTGAGCGGTGTCCACTGATTTGGTACGCTGTCGATATCACAGTTGGTCGGCTCGGAGACTCGTCGCCAGGGTGTCGTGCTCTCGCTCGACATGCCCGAGCAGCAGGCCCGCGGCATCATTATCCGCGTCGCGCAGTATTGCCAGGCGCTGCTGATAACCAAAGATCAGATCGACCTCGAGCGCTGGGAGTGCGTAGACGGGACCCGAGCCGAGTGGCAACGCGCGGCGAAGCTGGGGAGCAGGTTCTTACCGTGTTCCTGGACCTTCGAGGGCGGTCAGGCCATTGAGGAGGGTGTAGCTGTTGGAAGCACACTGCAAGATGGTGAAATGAAGTGGCAAGTGCAGGAAAGGTTTGCGTGGTAGGTGGATGGGTGATGCGATGCTCGGGGGGTGGCTTGTTGGTCTTCGTGAATGGGCAGGCTTTTAGGATACTAGTTCAGCGGAGGGCATAGAAGGCTAAATATCGTGGCAAGGGATGGGAAAGCATCGCTGGGCGGGTTTGGAGGGCCCAAGAGTGAGAGGAAGGATCCACGCAACTGGGAAGCTCTTTTCCTCATCCCCGTGCAATTTGAGAATGGAGGGCACCAAACCATTCACGGCTAACGTTGACAGACTCTGCGCAAAGAGTGGTGGTAAGTGTCGTGTATTCTCTAAGTGCCCTCCGAAGAGGGCTAGGCAATAACTACTTCTAAATGCCAAGACGCTAGTGCACGGATCAACAACGTGAGGATCAAAGAGCGTTTTCAGGAATAAGGAAGGAAACCGGACAGCCAAGTCTACAAAGAGAGGTCCAGTCCGTAATCGGGGGAGATCCTGACACCTTGGGTTTCGAAGGTGTGGTCCTCTAGATTTCTTTTCTAGGCGTTCGCCGAATCGAGGAGGTTGAATTAAGCTCTTGGTCATCATCGTAAAGCGCTCTTTTGAATCTTCCAACGCGATTTGGCGCTTCTTCTTGTTCCATTGTGGCTGTAGATTAAGCGGAAGCCGTGAGCTCTAAACGTCCAGAGCATTGGCTTATTAGCAGGGAAATCGGCGAATGAAAATGGCAGAACATCTACATCCAACCCCACCGAGCGGTGCGAACCGCAAAGCTCGAATCTGCGAGCTGATGTCCCGCATTTGTATAATAAGAGGCTACACGTCGACTAGAACAGGAGAATCACATCGTGGGCACATTTCACACGTAAACAGAGGCAGTCCTCATGTTGGGTATCTTAAAAGCCAAGCAATCCCATTCCTTGATTTTGGTACCATAAATTAGGCATGATGCTTGTCCTGTTCCGTTTTGAGGTACAAGCAACGAACGCCAACCCAGCACTTTTTTAACCCATCTATTTGGCCTTCTCGGCGGCGGCGTCAGCAGCAGCCTTGGCGCGCTTCTCGCGGACACCGACAAGGCGGGCGTCGGAGCGAGCGACACGGAGAGTGCGGAAAGCGTTCTCGGTGGCGGGGTAGTCGGATACGGCGCCCTCGGTGACACCGGCAGCCTGGACGATGGGGAAGGTGGAGGCAACGTTCTTGACGTTCTCGCCGGCCTTGACAGCCTTGACCTCCTCGGCGGAAGCGTCGCCCTTCTTGGCGGCCTTGGTGCCAGTGCGGCGGGGGAAGACAATGAGGCGCTGCCTGTACTCCTGGAGGCGCTCGACGTTGGCCTTCAGGGACTCCTCAGAGAGGTTCTGGCGGCGGGGGTCGACCGAGATACCGATGGTGGGCGCGAGCTTGCGGGGGATTCCAGCGGCCTTGAACCAGTCAGCTTTGTGCTCGGTGTTGCCCAGTCGTCCATCTGAATCCATACCTTGAGTTCAGCGAGGGAGAAGCCACGGCCGGCGCGGACGCGGCGGTTGTACTTGACGGAGGGGCAGCGGACGACGGGCCTCAGCTTGTCGACCGGGCGAGGGGCGACAGCGGCAGCCTTGGCCTGGCGGGCATCACGCCTGCTCTTCTTCTTGCCGGCCTATTCGACGGGGTATTAGACAAAAAGTCTGTTCGATCGGCGCCTCTGCTCTCAGATGGCTGAGAGGGGAATTACCTGATCGAAGTGAACGCGGACGCGGCGCTGCCAATCCTTGCGGAAGTCTGCAATCCATTGTCAGCAACTCGTGGGCGATGCCGGGCAGTAAGGACTTTTTCTTACGGTTGTGGGGGATCTGGTTGTTGTGCTTGATGGCCTATGACGAAGAATGTTAGCGGTCTGACCGCTCGGAGCGCAAATTGCGCGTATTTGCATAGAATGCGCGTCGCAGCGGCGCGTGGCGGCATACCATTTTGACGGTTGTTGAGCAGGCACTGGGTTAGCCGGTTGTCGTCGTCGCTGTCGAAGTCTCGAATAAACGCGCAAAGTTCTGTGGACGGTTGAAGCGAAAAGGGATCAACGTTCTGCCGCAGCGCCGGCGCTAGTCTCAAAACCGTAATGGAGGGCGTGCATGTGACCTGGAGCTCCTACCATCAAGTGCTGGCCACCTCCAGACATCTCCATCCGCTCTGCCATCGGAGAAGAGCTTGTCAGCACCTACATCATGATCCCGCGGTCTTTCTTGCCGCTTGTTTTCGCTGCGGGCGCTTATGCGGCCCAACCTTCAGCACCGTCGCCCAAAGCGGCTCCTCTCCGCGAGTTGCCTTGGGCCCAACTCAACTTCCTGCATACGACTGACACACATGGCTGGCACGGCGGACACCTGCAAGAGTAGCCCTCTCCACGCCTTCGTGACCGCTTGATTCTGACTCTGCCCGACGCAGGTCATCGTATTCGGCTGACTGGGGCGACTACATCTCCTTCGCTAAGCACATGCGCGCCCGTGCGGATGCGGACGGAGTAGATCTCCTGCTCATCGACACGGGTGATCGTGTCGAGGGGAACGGCCTCTACGACGCATCCGAACCGAAGGGCAAATACACCTTTGACATCTTCAAGCACCAGCATATTGACGTCATCTGCTCGGGCAATCACGAACTGTACAAGCAGAACTCGTCTGAAAACGAGTTCTACTACACCGTCCCTAACTTTAACGGTAGCTACCTTGCATCGAACTTGGATATCGTCAACCCTGAGTCTGGGGAACTTGAGCCGCTTGCCCCGCGGTTCAAAAAGTTCACCACCAAGAACCAAGGCATCCGAGTCCTGTCCTTTGGCTTCCTCTTCAACTTCGCTGGGAACGCCAACAACACGGTGGTCAAGCCTGTCGAAGACACTGTCAAAGAGCAATGGTTTCAGGATGCCATCCGTGACAAAGACGTCGATCTCATTCTCGTGATCGGTCACGTGGCTCTCCGCACGCCGGAGTACAAGCATATCTTTAAAGCCATCCGCTCCGTGCAGTGGGACGTCCCGATCCAGTTCTTCGGTGGCCATGCCCATGTGCGAGACTTCAAAAGGTTTGATGATAGATCAGTGGCCATCGCAAGCGGGCGGTACATGGAGACGGTCGGCTTTCTTTCCATTGACGGGCTGAGCACTGGTAAATCCAAGAGCATTGCGCCCCAAAGGGCGGAACTCACTTTTGGGCGTCGGTATATCGACAACAACCTCTTCTCACTCTACCATCATAGCGGCAAGAACGAGAGCACTTTCTCAACCCCCGAAGGGAAGGACGTCACGAAGATGATTGCTAAAGCTCGAGAGGAGCTGAGGCTCGACAAGAAGCACGGCTGTGCTCCGCAGAATCTCTGGGTCAACCGCGCTCCTTTCCCCGCCACGGACAGCATTTTCACGTGGCTGCAGGAGCATGTGCTCCCGGAGCAGATGAGCAACACCTCCCGTGTTGCGGACAATAAGAAGGCACTCGTCATCACCAACACGGGAGCCATGCGTTTTGACATCTTCAAGGGGCCTTTCACGAAGGACAGCACCTTCCTCGTCTCGCCGTTTACCAGCGGGTTCCATTATATCAAGGACGTACCCTACGCCGAAGCCCAGAAAGTCCTGCGGGTCTTGAATAAGGATGGCGTCCAAACCTTCTCTGAGGGTCCTTTGGACTCGGCAGTGCTTGCGCCGCCTGAGCAGCAGAGCGGTCGCTTAAGCGTTGCTTCCACACGGGGCTTGGGGTCGGAGTATGTCGCCAATGACCGGGTGCAAGCACCTCTCACTCAGGACCAGCCGTCCGATCTCACCCCAGGCTACACTACAATCGACGATGCGGGTAGCGAGGGCGACGACACGGTGCACTCGGCGATCCAGTTCTTTGAAGTCCCAAACTGCATCCAAGCAGAACTGGGCTTCAGCTCGAAGGACGAGGAGCCGGAAGAGGTTGATCTCGTCTTCAATGAATTCCTACAGCCTTGGATCCTGGTTGCCTTAAGGTATCTCGGGCAGGAGTACGATGTCTCGGACGCGCAGCCGTACATGGAAGGGAGGAGCTTCACGAGCATCATCACCGACTGGGTCGGTGCTCACTGGGATTGCTGATGCTGTAAGTATACGTTCTGACGGATGGCGTTTGCTTGGGTTGTGGACGGTAGACATGAACAACAATAGATTAAGCGGATGCTTTAGCCTGATGCGGGTCGGGGCACGGCGGTGCTCGGTCAGCGTGCTTGATCAGCCCCTGCGGACGCCATCATTGCGTCAGTTAGCAGTTTCGTCACCACTGCCTTCCGTCCAGTCTGGTTTCCCTGCGGAGAAACCGCGGGCCGGTGGGCGTTCCTTCCTCTCGCGCAGCAGTGACGACGCTCCCTTAGTGGCCGGTGCACATGACGTCACCGTGGGGCAGCCCGAGTTGATAAAGGTAGAAGAGGGGTGGAAGGTTGCTTCCCTCAACAACCGCATCCAGCAAGCCTCACAGTCTTCCCAAACCACTCGCGAACCCCCTATCTCCGAGGTAAGTCTGCTCAATGCCCTCCTTGCAACCCAAGCACGCATCCGTCGATGCGGAAATTGTGAATCAAGGGATCGTGATGGCTGACGACAGAACAGCAGAACCCTCTTACAGACCTCAAACTGTACGCGCAATCCTTCACCAGCACCTTGTTCAGCACGCGAGGCTGTCCCAGTCAGGGGCCAAATCCCCGTGTCCTCCATCGCCTCCACACTATCGTCTGCACTTACGACAGCCCGCTGATGCAACTTCTGAATAGCCTCAACACCCACTCAATCACAATGTCTGCCCCCAACGCCGGCCGCCAGTCGCCCGACCCCGAACACCAGACCGATGCCCAGCAGAAGGGTCCGCAGGCCGCCCCTCACCTGGGCTCCGGCCCCGACGAGGGCTCGAAGCAGGCTTCCGAGCAGGACAAGTCGGCCCTGTCGTCCAACCCTACCCATATCCTCGAGAAGCACGCCGAGGAGACTACCAGCAAGAAATAATGGAGTGGCCGATACCCGCACAGATGTGCAGTCCGGAGGAAGTGTTGACGGACGATCGACCTGAGCATTGGCTGCGACTTGTTGCCTTTGCATACATATAATCACTTGAGCTGAGAGTGACACGGAGTCCTCGAGGCTTCTGTTCACGACGACATCAATGAATATCATGATTCGAATGTACTTGCTGATCTTCGTCACTGCGAACGTGACCTTGAATACCAAACCCCGTATGCACGTGATAGCGGCCGGCATCAGTCACAATGACAGTCAAACAGTGATCGCAGCCATGCTTTTAAACGCTCTATCTTCACTATGCCAATGTAATCGTCCGTCTCTGACACGCGTTATTCTATCTTTAGCTCGCCGGATCGACCGCCCAGTAACCCAAAAGCCACGCGGTAACCGATACAAGCATGCCGCACCGCCTCATCAGCAGCCACCGTCTCGGCCCCGGCCCCACCCTTACCCTTCCTCACGTGGGGAAAAAAGCAAACGGGGGGCTTTTGAAATTCGAATCACCGCCTGCAGCCCTGCAAGATGCCGGGAAATTCCTTCTTATGCGCGCATATGCGCTCACAGTCTGTCATGCGTGCATGACGATTCCGGTCAGGTTTGCGTCTGCGGATGCGCGCACGTCAGGTGCACTTGCTACCCTGGCTCTGCTGAGGTAGAATGAGACTTTTTATTATTCTCAAAGATGGTCGGCTGAGAATCATGTATTCTCGTGCGACCCCGGCGGACTGGAGAGAAGAAGAGAGAATTTGTGATGTAGGAGGATATCGCATGGTCATATGGCATGGGTAAGGCATATGCAAGCCGGAGCCCTGTGCAATCGACCGGCATGTTAAACTGTAGTGCATCATAAATCATTTCAACACATGCTTTTTCTTGTACGTGCCCTCTACGTATACCGCTGCCTGCTTTTCCCTATATGTGGTGTGCTGCGATAAATAATCGATCGATCTCCAAAGCATTGCGCAATGACAATCTCCGCAGGACTTGATCCACGAACCTGGTTAACACGTATCCCAAGGTAGAAGAGTGTCAGGGTGTCTCAATATCGGCGCGGAGAAGGACAAGGGCAAACAAACGAAATAGGGCCCTCAGTGTAGCCAAGGACCTGGACCTGGGACTCGACCAAGCCATCTCTTACCTCAGCGAAAGCAGCACTGAGAGAACAACAACTCGGTCCGAGAGAACAAGTGGAGCGGCCTAGCCTAGCTTTCTGCAAATAACCTTCTGATAGGCGCGGTGAGGATACGACAGGGCTGACCGGGGCTGACTGACCGAGCAAGCCGCACGTCATGGACCATTTCTTCCCGCCGCCGGCTATGACCCCCCCTCCACAAACCTCTTGGCCTTGGCTTGCATATGCACCGGAACCGGCGGGTACCCTGCACACCACGTACAATATTACCCAGTCAGCGGAGCGGGGACGACATGCAAGTCACGCGTGCAGCGTACGAGCGCAGGCGCCGGCCCATGTGGCTTGCCGCAAGCTACCGTCTGCTAAATAGTTGGCTACCGCCGTGCTTAATCGGACGCCTGACGACCATGCATACCGTCGCGGCAGGAGTGCATGGTGGTCTCAGCCCTGCGAGGCTTGCTTACTTTGACTTCGGTGACCTATCGTCCAAGGCAATCGTGACTTCATGCCATCGGGGACTCGAGCGCTTCAAGAGGCTTGCGAGATCTTAGTAGAGATAGTCACGAAAGTTCTTGTCGAGTCTCGATCCGCGACATGTTTCTAAATTGGTCACTGCAGGGGGGGGGCTGTGAGCTGCTTACTAGAGGGGGGGATGGAAGCGGCTAGCTGAACGAAGGTGGCTGTGGCGCCAAGGTGTAGGCAGACGGGAAAATGAGGATCATCAAGGTGAGCGCCAAAATTAATGTTCGGGTATTATTTTCAAAGTCTTGTCTGTCATGCGTTTGTGTCACTAGTGAAGGGTGTAGTGTGTCACCATGTCAGTGTAGCGTTGTTTGACGACCAGCCATCGTCTGGCGATGACGGGCCCAAGCCGAGCAAAAGAAGAAAAAAAAAAGCATGGGAGCATAGTCATGAAGCATCTTAAGTATCACCCACACATCTATATTCCTAATGGCAGTAAAGAGCCGACGTTGTTCTTGTGGGTGATAGTCACGTTCTCCCACATGATGACAATATCGCACAAGACTCGCCCACAACAGTGACTTCTCAGTAACATCACATTGCGGGTACCTTAGTAAATTGTAGTACGTGAATGAGGTAAATTTGTAAATTGCAGGTGCTAGTATCCCTGCTACTCTTTTCTCTATCGTTGCTCGACCAATCATAACGCCTGCCGTGCAAACGCGGAAATCGGATATACAGGTATCAAGAACAGACATTAGCAATTATGAAAGCAGCCACGCGCGCCATTCTTCTGAGGTCCAACATCAATCTCCCGTCCCACATTTAGATTCTGTCGGCGATGGGTGCCGCCTTGATGTCGCGCTTGCTTGTCGCAGCGCTGATGACACTCGTGCAATCCGTCAAGCTGCCGGCGTCGTTGCCCAGAACAGACATCCTGTTGAAACTGTAGCTCTTCGTTAGCCTCGCATCCCGAGAGTCAAAGAAATGGTGGATTGAAACGTACGCGCTCACGAACGCAGCAGCCCACACACCCTGCGCGTTGAATGTGGCCCACAGTGTCCTGGGATCCTTGGAGAGATTGACATCGCTGTCCAAGCTCACGGGTGCGGTACCCGCGGATGTCTGGGCGTAGAACTTAGTGTCCCAGGTGCCAGGCGTGCTATCCAGGGACTGGCCGGCCTGTTCGGGCTTGGCAAAGAACTGCTTTGCAGTGCTATGAGCACCGACGAGAGCGCCCAGGTCGGTAGCGGAGAAGCCCTTGGCCGCGAACTGATTGATCAAGGTCGAAGCAGAGGCAGTCCCCGAGGGGAGTTGGCCCTCCTCGGATGGAGTGTCGCTGTCCTGGCGGCCAACTTTGACAGCAACACGCGGGCCGAGCGGGCAGGTGGCGATTGCTTGCGCTGTCCATACAATCAGTGTCAAATGGCTCAGGTGCGTGCATGTATGACTTACCACCAGCAAATTGGATCAGATCTGCAGTTCCCACGTTGTACTGATCCGCCAAGGGCGCGAGCTTCTGCGCGAAGCTTGCCAACCCTGCGTTCTCAGCGCGGTTGTACTCCTGGGCGAGGATGATGGAGCCATCACAGCCGCCAGAGAAGCAGTCGTGGAAGGCCAGGCGGATGGCCGCTCTTGCATCGTCGCTGCACACCGAGCCGTCAAGAAACCAACCCTTCAGTTCCGAGGCGACATCGTTCCACTCGGATGGGCAGCTTCCCTGACGCTTGACAAGAGAAAGCAGATTGTTGCCCAGCCCTGATGCCTCGCGCTTGAGAACAGAGGCAGCGATCGAGACATCGTTGAACGTTAGGGCATGCACGCTGGAGGCAGCAGCGAGTAGGATGAGAGATGACTTGGAGAAGTACATGTTGATAGAGATGAAGGTGGACGAGCGAGGGAGGAGGGTTGAGCGACTGGCTAGAATAAGAATCGAAAAAGGCAAACGATGGAGCGACGGGCGATTGGGCGGTTAACAGCTGCCCTGCGTCTGGTAGGTGAGATCTGCTGAAGTGACAGGGCTCAGTTGTGGATGCTGCAATGAGAAGATGACTTGTGTCAAGGGCGATTCACATTTTATATCTCACTAAGGCCCAGGGTATGCTCAGCCATGTCGGCGCAGAGGCTTAGAGACGCAGCAACAGGTCGGCGCCTGCTACCACCGATCCACCGAGCCGCTTAGCTGACCCGCATAGCGAAGCACGCCTCCCCGTTGTCCGGGACTATTGAGGTAGTGTGATCTCGGGACTGCCAGGCTGGCGGCGGTGCGGCAGCGCCAGGGGCAACGGGACGGCAGGCATCAGCAGAGCACCGGTAGCGGTGTGTGCGCCAGACCAATCTCGCCGACAAGCGAGGGGACTCGCGGGCAGGAGCATGCTTCATGCCTGGTGGCGGCAGGGGAGCCTGCGTATCATGGCCTCGGGGAGGAAGATCACTTGCAGTGTAGGGTAACTCTCGCCATGCAGCCCACCTGCAGGCGGCCTCGATGTGGTAAGACCCAGGCGCAGTAGCGTCGGGCCTTTTCTTTGACAGGCATGGATGGATGCTGAGGTTGGCGACGAGGTGCAGCAAGAGATTGAGCCGCAATATTGACGATCTGCATGGCCAGGCTGGCTTGTGTTCCTCTCCGCATCGCCACGACAGCCACTAAAACGCCATCCCGAGACGCTACGGATGTAGGTGGGGGATTCTGGGGCGCATTTTCCGTAGACCCACCTTCGTGCTGGAAATTTGAACAAACGCAGTGGGATGCTCCCTGCGTTTCAGGCACTGATGGCCTCGTTCGCCAGCACGCAGCAGCAGAATCGTGGCTGAAAGGTCGGGCATGGCGTGGCTTTCGCTGCACCGCGGGGTGCATAGCCTCTACCATAACTCGCATGTCAGAAGCTTGGTGTCCTGGCTCAGCCGACAGAAGTAAGGGAATGGTTGGTGCTGCCGTGTCCCTCACGCCAGCACGAAGGCTCAGCAGAATCCGGCGGGGCGGGATTGGTTGGGTCTATGATGCACGTTGAGCATGGCCTTCGGATCTCACCTCAGCTTCATGGATGTGCCGGCCAACGCGGCACGCTCGAACAGCTGGCGGATGCTAAAGGCGGCCTGCCAAGCCAAAAGAGGAAATACCGGCTACGTCGCGCGGGAGCAGGTGATCCGAGTCGGAGGTGATCAGCACCGGGCTCCTGAGGCTGCGGTTCTGGCCGAAGAGGGATCATGCTGGATCATGCTGGCAGGACCATGGAGCCCGACGGGACGGCATGACATGCAGGATTATTTCGCTGATGAGTCCGACCAACTGGTCTGACGTACCGCGCCACGGCTGATTCAGCCAGAAAATCAGAACGACGGCGATTGGCGCACGCGGCGCAGCGTTGAGCGCCACGTTGAGCGCAGCCAGTCAGCCAGGCGCAGCAGCCATCAAAACCGCTCATCAATGTCTGGTACATGCCCTGAAGTCCCAGCGGGCGGACAGGCGTCGACATGGAGGCGGGGCTGGGATGCAGCGGTGAACAGAGCCTGTTGAGCAAGCGCGGGCTCAGGCGGAGGGCCGAGCAGGAGCGGTCGTGTGGTGGTCGGATGCGAGCGCGGCCGTTGGCTGGAGGTTGTGGTAGAGTGTGGGGGACGACCGGGGAGGATGGGCAGTGGCGGCGGCGGCGTCGGCGGCGGGCTCGCTTGCGGGCCCCACAAGTGTCCGGCTCTCCATCCATTGTCCGAAAATATCACCACCGCTAAAATGCACGCCACCTGCGCCTCCAAGCCAATCCGCGCCGCGACGTTTGTCAACCCGCCCGCCAACCGTTGTCGCCGTCGCCGGCATCCCCGTTGCCAAAAATGGTGCCACTCCACGATAATAAGCTTCTCGATAAGCTTCGCTGGTAATCCTCCTCGCCCAGGGGAAAGCAAAGTTAACGACCTCCGCCACAACCACATCCACAACTGGTCTGTCAGAGCCGCAGCATCCCCGCGCCCATTCGTCACGAAATCCACCCGGGCACGAGCACGAGCCCAGCGCACGAGGCATCTCCGTGTAGCACCGACACCGCATCTGCCCACTCGCCCACCTCTCCCTTTCAGCTGGCGAAAAGTCGAGAGTGACACTGCCTCCCCCTCTCATTTCCCAATGCGACTTATTCTTGCATTTTCACGAGCAGTCGGACTCCCGGCAAGCCCGGGTCTGACCACGCTCGGCCCTGCGAAGGAATGCATACTTGCGTGCGACCACTAGCCTTGTTCCGAACTCGTATGTATCACGTCACACTTAGCATGCAAGTACGTGGCACTCCTAAACCTCGTTTTTGTTTTCCACTGCGTCGAGAAACTCCATACGCCCGAAAGGAATCAGATTTGGATCGCGCGCTTTGCTGAGGATGCGAAGGAAGGTAGTAGGCGCCGGCAACGGACGGAGAGAACAAACGCCATGCCCCCAGCAAACCAAGGATCGGAAAGAGACAGCCAGAATGTGATAGATGCAATGTTACCTTGACCCCGCCCAGAGAAAATAAAAAGAGAAAAGCAAAAGGTCCCGCCCCTGTGATGCAATCATGTGCGTTGGCCCTGATCTAGCCAAGAAGATCAACATTAAAAGAGAATTATCAGATTAGAAGAAGAGAGTCGAACGAAGAAAGCATCCGATAACCAGTCAGATGCCTGGTAGCTTGACACCGGCGCATTCCGAGATGCTCCAGTGTCCTTGTGGTTTTTTTTTCTCGCACTTTTGTTACTTCATTACTGGCTTCGAATCTCTTCTGCAGACCTGAAGGCTTCCAGCTTTCAGCCTGGTCGCCTGAAAACTTCAACGCCAAGCGTGGGCGTCTCCACCAGCTTGTTACCTGGTACGCCCTCGTCTTTCCTGCGCTGGAAAAAGCTCTGGCATTCGCCCACCACTATCGCCCATTCGCCCAGCGCGCGTCCTGCGTACTTGCTCGAAGTGATGGCTGCCCCTTCCGGCTTGACGCTTGTAATCGGCTTGGGGTTGGCCGTTTCCGACTCCTCGCGCTGTGCGTGCAAGAAATTATGAGCTGCCGGGGGCAGCCGTGGAGGCATCAGACGCATCGGGCCAGGGTTTGCGAAGCGCTTGTCATGCACCCATTCCAATGAAAAGCGGAAGCAGTAGCTGCGATGCGGAGGCACCTCCGGCGTGTTGTGTTTCTTTGCTGCCGTTTCCGAGGTAGTGCTGTCCGAGTTCGGCGTGTCTGTGGTTCCCTCGCGGGAGGTTGGTGGATCAGGGCTGCGAGATTTCGAGCGCGGCTTGGACACGCTTAGAAGATTGCGCAGCAAGCTGAACCGCTTCTTGCCGTTGTCCTCTTCCCCAGCGTCCGAGTTATCCGAAGCAATGGATAGTGCGGAGGCTGGCCGAATGTTTGTGTCGCCCAGCTGCGTCTCCAGCGACGAGTGGTTGCCGTACGCTGACTGTTGGTTTTTCGAAGCATTCGACACGATCCCGTCGAATGAGAGGAATGGCCCATTTGCAGGGGACAATGGCGCGTCGTGACGTATGATGAGCAGCCGGCGCCCGGGTGCTGGGTTGCAAGGCGTGGTTGAGGGGAGCGGCTCGTTTCGCGTCTGTGCCACTTCCTGCAGGTACAGGTAGTGGGCCCAGACTGATTGCAACCTCTCCTCGACACTATTCAGGATTCGCCTGTTTCCATTAGCACTTCACAAAACTTCTTCTCCGCTCGGTCCTGTGGCTTACAAGTCAGAGTCCGTAGCCTCCCCGTCAAATCTTGAGACCCTCCAACAGATCAACCTCATGTAGTATGCCCGAAGCATGGGGCACCAGTGATTGAAACGGCTTTCGAAAAACGCTGGCTCGAGCAGGAAGTCGAGACAGAGCTCGGACTTGCGCTTCTCATCCTCAACAATCGTGCCCCATACGCTGTACAGAAAGGACAAAAGTCGGATCTCCGTGGTGGTGTTGTGGCTTTCTGTCATACGCCTGTACACGGAAATCCAAAATGTCCAGTCAACGACCAACCTGTCGGCAGCGCGCTCATAACGCAACAAGATCAGAAGTGCTTCTTCCAGAAAATCGCAAAGGGTATAAGACGCGTTATGATCGAAAATGGAGACCCTACGAGCAGATGCTTGTAGGAGAGAACTGAAACTTTCTGCAAACATGTGAGGGGCTGTGATGGATTGAGGGTTTCCTACTGAGAGGAAATCTCGAAGAAGCATGATTAGACGATTCTCTGCCATCAGCCGAACGGCGTTGGCCGGAGGCAAAGGAAGGGCCGACGCCGCTGCATCCGGACCGTCCGCAAGCACGTCATCAAAGGTCATAGAAGACGTCGAAAGGCTTTCTTCTTCTTTTGCGGCAGTCAACGCTGCGTGGCGATGGAGAGTCTCGTCCAGGTTTGCGAGGATCTGGGCGTGGACCATGACAAGCCCAGGGGCGCAGAGTCGTTCAGCAGCGGTCGTTCCTGCCGGAAGGAAGTCTGTGATCAGGATATGATAGCACTTGGCAAAGACGTAAAAAAGGTCGCTCTCCGTCCCCGACCATCGCTTCACCCACGACCCGTGCCAAGGCAAATTAGCTGTCCCGAGAGGGAACGGAGCAGGCTTGCGAAGCTCACGGAAAGTTTTGTGAAGGTTGGTGAATCCAAGGGAATGGAGATTCGGCGGGAAGTTGGGGAGGATTGCTTTGGACGTTTCGTCAAGCTTCGACCTGTCTGACATCTTGCACTCCGCCATGACCCGTCTCATGGCATCTAGAGAGGGCGACCACAGTCTAACAAGGATGTCTGCCATGCCGGGGCAAAAGAAAAAGGCATATGCGCATGTTTTCCCGCAGAAGTTCACCAAACTAGCCGGTGCATTTCGCAAAGACATTTTCTCAACCACAAATCCCATCTGCGCGGTAAGATTTTGGATGAGTGTGTTGCGTACGTTGTGATGCACCGATTCGGCCAAGAAGTCGGACTCGAGAGATGCGACTGATGTTGAGGAATGTGACCGGGGTATGACCGGCGCATGCCTTTCCGTCAAGGGTGCAAATGGTGAAGGATGTGTGCGCCACTCTGGGCGTTCCATAATACCTACTATCGCCTGAAGGATATGAGGCCTGTCGGACCCGGAGATAGATTGGTTGTTCTTTCCATTGATCATTTCCAGCAAGCCGGTCCACCATCGATTCAGAATGTTGCTGCGGCGGTCCAAATCTTCTGGCCGAAGCCTACTGTTTGATGGATGTGTTGCATAAGTTCGGAGGAATGGAAGCAGGTTCTGGCGTACAACATTTGCTTTCAAAGCAATGGATTTTGACGAGAATCTGTTGGAAAGATCTTTTAGCCTCGCATTGACGGAAAATCGACAACAGTTACAAACTTTTGGTAGTCGCCATCCAGACTTCGGAACTGGCCCCACAGTTCATCCTTCTTCTTCGGCGTTTCTAACGAAAAGGTCTTCAACTTCTCGTGATTGACCGTCCTCGGCACGGGTGGAATGACGGATTCTTGCGATGGCGGTGACCTCATCAGCGTTGGTAATCTGTCGGTGGAGAACGATTGGCCTAGTTGAGGTGAGGCAGGCATTGACGGAGATTTTGGTAGGTTGGGAGACTTTGGTATCTCGGGTACTGCCGGAATTGGAGGGAGCTCTTCGGCCTTGAGCGGCTTGATGTAAGCATCTGAAGGTTTCCTAGGTCTCTTCGTAAGAACGGTACCCTTCTTGGGAGATTTCGTGGCAGAGTCTTCGGCGGGAGCTGGCTCCGTTTCTTTGCGGTCCGAATTGTTTCGCAGGATGGACATGCGCCGAGATACACGGGTACTGAGACGGTCCTCCGAAGCGGGTGCGCCCTCCGATTCCTTCCGTATGAATGACTTGCGTCTGGTTGCAGCAGTTGGGCGCTCTGCACGCTCCTCCTCGACCGGAGGCGGGTCGGAATCCTTGCGAAGAATGGATTTGCGCCGGGATGTAGTGATGAGGCTCCGACGCTTTTCGGGAGATGGGCGGTTGCCGTTTACACCATCTTCTCCTGAGGATTTGCTCGGTGACGACTCCTTCGCACTGGACGACACCCAGGACTTGCGTCGAAGATGAGTAAGCGACCTTTTGGGAGGCACGGCCTGCTGATCAGCTTCCGCCCTGTCCGTCTTCTCCTTTTCCTCTTCCTCCTTATTCTTCTCACTTTGTGCTTTTTGCTGGCTCTCCTTCGGGGATTCCTTCGAAGCCTCTTTCGAAGCGAGTTTCGGGGTGTCCTGTGCGGCGTCTGTCGAAGTATCTTGCAAGGCTTCCTTTGGAGTCTGGTTTGAGGCCGGTTTCCGCGTCTGCTTTGAAATCTGCTTTGAGTTCTCCTGCTGCTGTGAATTCTTGTGGGATTCTTTCCGCACCTCCTTCGGGGGTTGCTTCTGTAGCTGCTTCAAGGGTTCTTTCTGCGTGTCCTTGCGCGTACTCTTGTCCTTCACCCCGTCCTTCGCCTGGTTGCCTGACGTCACAGGCTCGCGCGACGAGGAGAAAAAGCGGGAGAGCCTCGATCGCTGAGTCGGCGGATCAGCCGAGTGCGATGGCTTTTCGTCCGGTAGATCGGCAGGTTCGTTCTCAGGCGTCGAGCCTCCGCTGGAAGAGTAGGGCGAATCCTCATCTCTCGATGAGTGCAGCTCCGCCTCGGAGATCCTGCCCTTGAGCTCCACGACGGACGAGTCCTCGTACTCTAGATCTTTGACCGGGGGAAAGTAGGTATAGCTGGCGGAGCGGGGGAGATGCACGGCTTCGGGCGGTCGCGGATCGTCTACAACGTTGTGCGTGGCGGCGGCGTCTGATACGCTCCGGTCTCTCCCAATGAGTGGAGTCGTTGAACTGCTGGCGGCGGCCATGCTTGCAGCCGCCATTGTGGAACGATGCCTATCGATATGGAATGCTTCGCTAGGAATGCGGCTCGGTGGGCGGGTGCGAGTCTGAGACAGTGGCTAGCTCCGACTCCCCATCATCCGGTGGGCAGGACCAGGTGAGCCGATAACAATGGGGGATCCCCGCCCGCGATGTCCGGAAGAAGAACGAAAGACGGCGAGCGGCGCGGAAGTGGACAAGCAGGGATCCGCGCGATGCGCTCGAAGATCGACCGCGGGTGAAGGCGAGAGGCACACTGCGCGTTCAGGGTGGACCGTCACTCCTGGGTTGCGAGCGCCAGGCAGATGGCGGGGGGGGGAAATGACAGATTGCGCAAGCCGTGAGGAGCTGGCTGCCTGGAGAGAGCTGAGGCTGAGGAAGGCTCACGCGTGGGTGGGTGGGTCCTGGGAGGAGAACGCGTTAAGATAGCGAGGGCGGAGGCTGAGAGCGAGCGGTGGTGGGAGAAACGAGGGTCACAGGCTGCAAGCCACCGCCTGGAGCGATTGTGCGGCGGAGAGGGCGGCGCGATAGCTCGGTGGAGGGAGGTTGAAACAACGCGCAAATTGGCCGGAGAGGACTCGCAGCTCCCTGTCGTCACAGACACGGGCGGGCGTTCATGATCCAACTGCCCGCGCTGCGGCTGGCGGACCCTTAGCGGCTGAGTGGGCCAGTGGTAGCGGCGCTGCAGCAGCATTATTTTTGGTTCATCTTGGCCCGCCGCGGCGAATCGTGGGCGGGCGCTCGCCCAGAGATCTACGCTTCCGCAGCCGTCCACGCCCCCGTATCTGCTGCCCTGGGTGGCCGTCCCCGGCGCTGCGGCTAGGGGCAGCCTTCGAGAAATTGTTGTGCGCAGGAGCACCGCGCTCCGGCCCTTCGCCTGTGCGCTGTGGACATCAGGCATCCTTTCCGGCCAGCGCCAGCGCGATTGCGTAGTTTTGATTTCAGGACGCCAACGCCCTGCCACTCGGCTGCCTCGGGCTCCCGCGACCCGACCGCCGCCTCGCAGCTCCCAGCTCCCAGCCTTGCCATTAACGCCTGCGATACGAGCCTCCGGGCACGGCCGTTGTTGGCCAAGCGACCACCCGGCCACGTTAGAGTCGGCGTCAGCGCTTCGGGACGCTGTGGCTTGGGGCTGGTGTTATCCGTGGGTGCGCTGGAGGCTCCCCCGCCCGCGCGCAGAATGTTCTACGGAAATTGGTCCGACCCACCGCTGCCTGCGCTGCGCGAGGACCGAGATGACCGCTGGACACGGCGGGTCGCTTGTCCGCGACCCCCGCCAACTGTGTCCGCGACACTGGCCGCATTTCAGTCTTGGGCAACGGGACATGGATATTATGGAGCCATCGACTACCGCACGTTGTTTTCAGAAGCGATGTGTCCCATGCGCTCACTAGAACCGAGATATCGGTGTCAGCACTACAGTGCCCTTGGCCTCCCTTGCAACAATGCTCCGAGCTTGTGGCAGTGTGGCATGGCAGTGAGAGGGGCACCGTAGATGGAGCCGGTGCCAGATGGAGACGGTTCTATACGCAGATATTCGATGGCGATGCAGACTCTGATGGAGGAAGGGAATTGACCAGTTAAATAACCTAATCGAGCACTGGAAAGGCTTCCTGGCGGAACATCATCGCCTCAATTGCGTCATGAGACGGCTGACGGAGTATTTTTGTACAGTTGATTATTCCGGCACTTAGTGGGCAGCAGCGGGCGCCTCTTCCTCTTCCTCAAACCAGTCCTCCTCAACCGCAGCGGTCTCGCCCGCAGCCTGGCCCTCAACCTCGGGCTGCTGGGCCTCGTACTCCTTCAACTCGCTGGCAAGGTCACTCTCCTCGGGCGACTGGGGAGCCTTGGGGATGGAGAACTTCTGGACGTGGCCCTCGGCATCGGTGGGCTTGACGGGCGTGGGCTTGTAGTTCTTCAGCTCGCGCAGGTACATGTCCTGCACAAGGTCGGCTGCAATTGATGGTAGGGTCAGCCGTGCACAATGCCAGGACGCAATTTTTGGGTCGGACTACCTTGGCGGACGGCCGTAGGCGTGAGGAAGGTACGGCGCGCCATGACGGCATTGCGCTGGGCCAGACGGCCGACGGAAAGGCGCTGGACAGTGCTGTCAGTATCAATTTCAGGAACGACGGGCACGCGGCGACGTACAGAAGCCCTGATTGTCTGAGCAAGCATGATGACGAGGGGGTGGTGATGCTTCTCGTGATGGAGCTCCGTCGTGGTAGGCGATGCCGGAGGGTGAAGTTGAACTTCCTTCGCGCGTCCCACGCACGGGCCTCGCGCCTCAAATCCCGACCCCAAACAGAGCAGCCGTTGATGCGATGTGAACGGGCCCCGTCCGCAATGGACTCGCCTTGACACCAGCGGCAGACGTGGTTGTGCAATTCACTTCCAGGTACCCCTTCCCGCTGCTACTGAGCCGGTTTCGCGCAGGTTCGCCGTGTTATGCAATCCCTGGCTCACGTGATTCGACGGTTACTCAGCCCCGGCTTCCGATGGCCCGTCCGCCGCGCCGCTGATATGCTTCGTGCCTGGCGCCCTTCACCTCTCCTCTTCTTTGTCCTGGACCGCACCTGCAACCCGACCTGCCCACCGCCAGAGTCGCTCTCCACTGCCGAACGCCGTCGTCGCTGTCCCCGCCGCCGTCGCCGCCGCCGTTGGAAGGACGCCGGACTCCTATTCTGCGGCGACTCACGCTGCGCCAACCGTCGCATAACGGCTACGTCGCCTGGCAGCACCACCGAAGCCTTGACAACCGGACCCATAGCAGCGTCTACTTCTGCACGAATCCTCCCAGCCAACCGTCAGCTGCGAGTCGACTTGAAGCCCAGCATGGCTCTCTCTCCGGGTGAGGTGCGTCCTATGGAGCATCATGTCAAGCAGAACGAGGAGTATGTGGACAATTTCAACATCCACATGATCTGCCCCGACTGCAAAGAGAGCCCTCCGAACCTCATTGAGGAGTTCTCCAGTGGCGACACTGTCTGTGGTTCTTGCGGTCTTGTGCTGTCTGCCCGTGTTGTGGATACTCGCTCTGAGTGGCGAACGTTCTCGAACGACGATCAGAATGGCGACGATCCTTCGCGTGTCGGTGACGCTGCCAACCCGCTCTTGAACGGCTCACAGCTGGCGACCAACATTTCCTATACGGACGGTGCGAAGAGCCGCGAGCTCAATCGTGCTCAGAACAAGTCCGGCACCGACAAGAGCAACAAGGTGCTCATGCAGGCGTACAAACTGATCGGTCAGTGGTGCGATCGTTGGCTTCTGCCTCACACAGTCAGCGACACGGCCAAGCACATGTACAAAATGACGGATGACTCGAAGCTGTTCAAGGGCAAGGCGCTTGACACCATCGTTGCCGGTTGTTTGTTCTTGGCTTGCCGGCAAGCTGGGCAGGGCCGTTCCTTTCGTGAGCTGCACGAACTGACGGGCGTTTCGAAGAAGGAAATTGGCCGCATTTTCAAGCTACTGGACACCTTCTTCAATAAGCAGAACAAGGCGGGCACGGTTGTCACCACCGGTGGAATGGTCATGGCAGCCGACGCATACAAATCGAAGGAAGCTACCTCGCCTCCGGAGTTGTGTGCACGCTATTGCAACGCTCTAGGGCTAGACAACCGTGTGCAGATGCTAGCTCAGCGTCTCGCGGAAGCCATGGTGAAGCATGGCTGTTTGGCTGGTCGCTCGCCCCTTTCTGCATGTGCGGCCTGCATCTACATGATCAGCTATTTAGTCGATCAGCCTTTGACGGCAAAGGAGATTGCACCTGTTGCTGGTGTGAGCGACGGCACCATCCGGACGGCGTACAAGCTCCTCTATCAGGACAAGGACAAACTTCTTGATCCTGAGTGGGTTAAGGAAAAGGGCCTCAAGATCGAGAAGCTGCCATCCACCTAATTTGGCATATTCTGTGGACGTGTTGGAGTCCTCTGTCGCAGATCAGCTTGCTGCAACAGTCGATGGGCCGGCCCATTCCACTCATTCAACTTTATTTATCAGCCTCAAGGCTGCGGACACCTCGTACTCATTTCTTTTACTTATGCACCAAACAGAGACAAAATTATCCACCAGCGAAACCGATACCCGGGATTTCACATCACAAAACTCCCCAAAAACATTGAACTTTTTTGCATAGCATGGCGTCTCGGTGGGGCTAAATGCTTCTTACATGGTTTCCCCGCAAATGGTTATAGATCGTCCTGCTTTTTATTCCGCGAAGGGGGTTCTCCTTTAGGAAACTGCACAAGCAAGAGTCCGGCGGGAAGAAGGAGTTTCAGCAAACTTGCCTTGAAAGAGTAGTTCTTTCTGTTTTGTTACTATTTCGCTTGACCTTTTCCGAAGGTCAAACCATCCAAGGCAAAAGCGGTAGTACCACCTGCCGTTCTGCATTCGGCAGATATTGGATAGTAATTTGGTCTTTTTTTCAAGGCCAATACTCCCCGTATCACCCTTCCTACTCTTGCTTGCATCTGGAACATGAATTACTAGCCACTTCAGATGAAGGCACGCAGGGAGGTGGCGCTACTGACTCCCGATAGACTGAATTTCTCCTGTTTAGGTCGAGCAAGGCACGGTATGGCGATGCGGATCAGGCTCCTGAAGGAAGCTGGAGGTCTAGGTGCAGATATGAAAGCCGATATAACAATGAAGATACACTTGACTCAATCATCAGCTGCAAGAGAAACTTGCGAATTTGTGTGCACTGGGTGAGTTTTCTGTGTCAAAGTGACCGAAAGATGATGGCAGCGCATTTGAAGCACTATTGAGATACCGAGACCAAACTCCAACTTCGTTCTCCGAACCCATGTGATGAGGGAGATGGGTATCATCTATGATCGAGTGCGTGGTTTTGAAGCGCTTGAACGACCCGAAAAAGGCCAAAGGTTTGAGGGACATGAAAAGAGGAGCGGAGAGTATGAAAACGCCCCACCAACCGAGACCAAGTGCTGCTGTCCAAATGATACCCCAAGGAAAAAGTATCATCAGTAAGAAAGAGGAAACAAAGGTGAGAGGAGAGAAATCGCCGTGCTAGCCATGCTTGCTAAGCGCCTTGACCCGCCCGTAGGTCCCGTTTATCGCCGGCTTACGCTTTTCGTATCAATTTGTGTCCATTCCGTGTATCTTGAGTCATGCCTGCTTTTGGGTATAATGCTGCAACTCTAGATTTGAAGTGTGTGCTGGGCCTTCAGTAGAGCTCCCTTGTCCGTCGGCCGCTGTAGTTGCACCAATCGCACTGTAGAGCAGTATTTATCAGATCAAAATCTTTGAGGGGTCGTCGAACTAGAGAATAATCATACAGCGATAGCGGAAGAGCCGTCATTATCGATGATGCAGTACTCGTTACGGCAGGTGCGACAGGCGCGGATGAAGAGAGCTTTGCAGTCAGCGCACTGTATGGCCGCACGTAGTCAGTCAAGCTCGGTTCAGGACAAGGCACGGACAATTGATGGGACTTCAAGATGGATCAGCGAGATAACGGTGTGGATCTTCACGTACAGTCGGACCGCAGCCAAAGCATTCCCGCTTCACGCCGATCTGTAGGTGCAGTCCATGTCAGCTACTCCGGGCTAAAGACTTCCACACGGACATACCTCTGTGAATGCTGGGGCCGAGATCCTGAGCGCGTGTTCGAGTCCTCATCCTCCGGTTCTTGATTTTTGTTCCGGGAGAGAATCGTGTCTGCTGGGAACGTTTATGTATCCAGCTGCGCCTCTAACATTCTCTTTTCTTCATCCCCACATACCAGCGCTCCCGGCCCCAGACATCATCTCCTCGACCAGGCAGTGTGCAGTGCAGAGACCCATATGTACCTTGATATCGTGGGGAGGGTTTCCCTCGGCCGCCATCTCTTGGAGGGCTTCAGTTTGCTGCAGGGCTGTAAGCGTTGAGCCGTTGGTATGAACGGTGCTTGCGCTCCCGACAAAGCACTTCTCGTCCCACCACTTATTACACCGCTCACACCAACGACCGCGAAGGCACTCCTCACACCGGATAATCAGCCTCGGCGGTGGCGTGCCTGGAAGCATTGACGGCTGCTGCGCAGCCCGGATGGTCGAAGAGTGGAGCGGTGGCGGACTCAACAACGGCAAGTGATGTGCTGGCGAGTCACGAATCATCGCCGGACCCTCTGGGCAGCCGTGACAGCTCTGACAGCCTGCCGGTCCCAGAGCAACGCTGGCAACTGCAGGCGGGAGGTAGGCAGCCTGGGATCCGCTGTCGGCATAGACGGCAGCAATATCGTGGCGCGGCCCCCGGCAGAGGACGGCGTCAAAGAATATGATACCCTCGCACGCCTTTAGCGTCTCAGCCCATTCCGCAGATGGCCGCCTGCGCAGTACACGACCCTCTGACTGGTACCACTTGTGGTGCTCGGAGCGCGCCAAGGCGGACGACAAAGCGTCGCTGGACCGCTGGTTCCATTCCGCTCCGATCTGCGCGCCAAGAGAGCTCATGACACCGCCAGGGGTTCGGGGCGGGCTCCGCTGCTTCTTGGATGACACCAGCTCCGTCGCAGGACCAGGTTCTTTGGCGCCAAAGACATACAGGCCCTTGAGACGAGGCGTGCCGGGTGGGCGAGTGGGGCGGACGGCATACCGCAAGACTTGCTGCAGCTTGCGCTCGTTGAGATGCTCCACCTCGCGGATCGACAGGATGCGCACGTTGAAGCGGTCTTCGGCGACTATCTTGCGCACCAGGTCGGCTGGTACGCTGAGCCCGTCGAGCACCAGTGTGTGCACGTGTTCCAGGATGTGGTGGTGCTTCTTGTCAGCCAGCTGAGAGAATATACTGAGAAGGGGTTCGGAGTAGATGTCGTCCTCGGTCAGCGCTTCACCCATGCGTTCGGGGCGCCAGCTGTTGCCGCTGCGGTCGAGGGGCCCATTGTTCGCGGTGACAGCCGGCTTCACCGTCGAAAGATCCAGGTAGCGGACTGAGTCAGGTGAGTGATAGACCAGCGCCCTGAATGCTCGGCTTGCGAGCGCGAGGGAGAGGAGGGACGCGGTGGGCAGGTAGGGCGCAATCTGGCGCAGTAGAAGTGAGTTGCTCAACAAGTCGTAAAGCGTGATGGATGTGGCGTCGGCAGCTGCAGCCATTGAAGAGATGCTCGATGAGGCGCGAAGGCGTGCGAAAGAGCTTTGGAGAGGAAGAGAATGTTGGGACGGAAGGAGAGGGAGGCAGGAGCAAATATATGCAGCGGCGCGCGCAGCTACCGCAACGGGTGCGTGGGAGTCGTTTGACCAGACAATCCCATCATGTCAAGCAATGCTGTCATCCCGGCTGACGCTCCAGCCAGCGCTCTTGCCGAAACCGGCCTAGCTTTCTGGGCACCCGCTTATCTTATCGGAGCTGCGGCTTTTGCGTCACCGCGACCGCCCACCGCCGAGCTGCTTACAATTGCCGGCTTTCGAGAAGGTACTGCCGCTGCGCCTGCCTCCCTCCTTTTACTGCTCCTGTGCGCTCTTTCCTCCATTACCGCGCCTCTCTCATGCCCAACATGGCTTCCGAGCCCACAGAACCCGCTCCTTTACAGTGGTCCGCGCAGTTCGACGTCGCCGTGCCGTCCAAATCGCGACAACTTCCTGGCGACAAGCTCCTACTTCCGGCTTCCGCTCTCGAACAGCTGCTAGCAGCCGCGCCTACGGTCTCGGCGCAGTCCTCCTCGAATCAGCCGCATACGTCCACTTTCGATCCTTTCAACCCCCACACCTTCGCTGCTGAGCGTCACGCGCGTGAGCTGCAGTACCAGGACCGTGTCCAGCAGCTACCACATCCTCTTACCTTTCGACTAGTCAACCCCGACAATGGAAAAGCGGCATATGCTGGCATTCGGGAGTTCTCTGCCGACGAAGGCGAGGTCGTGTTGAGCAAGTTCCTGAGAGAATCACTCGGTGTTGAGTCAGATGGCGAAGCGGATAGCTGGCCTTCTAGTGGGAACACCAGCGACGAGGATACCACCATGGCAAATGGCGCAGGAGCCATTGCGGTAAACGATAGAGACAGGCCAAGGATCACGGTACACGCCAATCAACTTCCCAAAGGCACGTTTGTAAAACTTCGCCCACTGGAGGCCGGTTATGATCCTGCGGACTGGAAATCCCTTCTGGAGCAACACATGCGTGCGAATTTCACGACGTTGACGAATGGCGAGATATTAGTGATACCCGGGGGTCGTGGCGTTGGAGGCAAAAGAGAAGAGTTCAGATTTCTAATTGATGGCTTCAAGCCGGAAGGGGACGGGGTGTGTGTGGTGGATACAGACTTGGAAGTGGACATTGAAGCTTTGAATGAAGAACAAGCAAGAGAGACGCTCAAGAAGATTGCGGCAAAAGCACAGAAAGCACCGGGAACAACAGAAGGCAGTTCAACAGGCGGAAAACTGAACCTGTTGAAGGCTGAACCCGGCCAGGTCCTAGACGGCGAATACGTGGATTACGAGATACCTTCATGGATACGAGCCCAAGGCGTTGAAATCGAGCTCAGCGAGGTGGCCGAGGAGGATGAGCTTGATCTATACGTCAGCCCATTTGGACCTCGACAACGCACTAGGCCACGTGCTGAGGAGCATGTCTTTGCAGACGTGTCTAGCACATATCCCAAGCGGGTGAGGTTGCGACCGACCAATGTGGAGCTGGAAGATGCCGAATCGTTGTGGGTTTCCATCCACGCCTATGCCCCTGAGAATACGTCTGGAACAAGATCTCCCAAGACGTATCAGATTCGCGCTATACCTTTCGATCCCCAGGAGGATACCTCTCAGGATTCTACGACATCGGACACTGTTCCTCCAAATCCTGGTGATGTACAGTGCAAAAATTGTCAGCAGTGGGTCCCGGAACGAAGCTTGTTTCTTCATGAGAACTTCTGCTTGAGGAATAATACAGTCTGTCCAAAAGGCTGCGGTCAAGTCTTCCAAAAACGCTCAGAAGCTTTCCAGAATCACTGGCACTGCCCGCATGACACGTTTCATGGCAATACGGCTCTCAGTCATTCCAAACACGATGCCATGTTCCACCAGTCTTATACCTGTGACAGCTGCGATCGCACATTCACTTCTCTTGCCCAGCTATCACACCACAAGACAACGGTTTGCCCTGGAAAGCATATCCTCTGCCAGTTCTGCCATCTCGAAGTTCCACAAGAGGGCAATCCGGATGAACCGAACCCGGAAGCCCTCCTTTCAAATCTCACACCACACGAACTCGCCGATGGCGGAAGGACGACTGAATGTCATCTTTGCAACAAGATCATTCGGCTCCGCGATATGGCCACTCATTCTAAGCATCACGAGTTCGAGAAGCTCAGCCGTCCTGCCCCACGCATCTGCCGTAACGTCAACTGTGGCCGAACGCTTGATGGCACCAGCAAGACGGGCGACACACGCGTTGCGACCAAACTGGGTCTGTCTCAAGGTCCGGACAATGATCTTGGGCTCTGTGGCGTGTGTTTTGGACCGCTCTATGTCAGCATGTATGATCCGGAGGGCAAGGCTTTGCGGAGACGGGTCGAACGCAGATATCTCACGCAGTTGACGAAGGGCTGTGGGAAAGAATGGTGTCGTAATGAGATGTGCCAAAGTGGTCGTCAAAACCAAGGCACTAAGCCGGCAGGGTTATCAATGAAGGAAGCCTTGCCACTGATCAAACCGTTGCTAGAAAAGCTACAGGTGAGAGATGGAGAGACCCCAGAGACCCTGGTACATTTCTGTACGGACGAGTCCAGTCAGAAGAGGAGAAATCTGGCAGAGATGTTGGCAGCAGAGGAAGATGTAACTGGCAAAGGCGGTTATGCATTGGAGTGGTGTGTTGCCGCAATGGAGGCGCAAGGAGGGGATTTGCAGAAAGGGAGGGAATGGTTGAAGGGATGGGCACCGCAGAGAAATGAAGCAAGATGAGGGTGGTCACGGTCATGCATATAACGGCGTTGAACAAGGGTAGAAGATGGAGATATTTAATGTATATAGACACTTGATGAGCCAATCAGGGTTTGATTATTGTGAGAGCAAGATTGCGCCACAGGATACGCGCTAAATAATGCCTGGCAGAAGTTCGGGGCTGAAGAAGTCGCGAAACTGCTAGTGAAGTGGATGGGTAAATCCGGGTCGACGTAGTTGTTAGGTGGCCGCCGCAAATGCGACAGAACCGTCTTCGAGGCGGCCTGGAGTAAATCGGAGCGGACTGTGCTAGCCGGAGGCGAGTCGGGGCCGCGAGAGGCCCTGAGACCATTGCGCCTTCCGTGCCATCATCGTGGCCCTTGCTCCGCAACTTTCTTTCCTCACTTTCGCCGCAAACAAACCCACCCTCCAAGTGGTCTGCCTGGATTCTTCCAGCTGTTTTCTTTTATCCACACATCTCACCACGATTCACCATGGGTTGGTTCTGGGCAGACGCTGAGCCTGCGGCGCCCGTCGCCCCGCATCCCATGCCTCGGTCCTCCAACGCCGCTCCACCCGTGCGTCTCCCACGCTGAACGAATCCAATGACTTTGTGCTAATTCTCTCAGCCCGGCTGTCCGATGCACCAAAAAGGCGCTGCTCCGCCCGCACCACCGAAGCCTTCCGCCACCCCCACCGGCGCATGCCCCTACGTCCCGCCGGAGAAGAAGGACGGCAGTGCACCGGCGCCCCCGAAGTCCGGACTGCTCGAGAAGCTCAATCCGCTCAATTTCATGCCGTCAAATCTGTCGCAAGAACGTGCGGCGCACCAGACTGTCGACCTGCCGACCGATCGCGAGGCTTCGTCGATTCCGCGCGGCGATGGCGGAGGCAACTGGGAGTACCCCAGCCCACAACAGATGTACAATGCAATGCTGCGCAAGGGCTACACGGATACGCCGCAGGATGCGGTTGAGAGCATGGTTGCGGTGCACAACTTCCTAAACGAGGGCGCGTGGGCCGAGATCCTGGAGTGGGAGCGCCGCTTCTCCAAGGGCATTGTGCATGGATGGAAGACGAGTGCGCAGGGTGAAGAGGGAAGCCAGGCGGGCGAGTTGCTTGAAAGATGGCCGGACAAGGAGACGCCGCCGCCGCAGTTGACGAGGTTCATGGGCAGGCCTGGGGAGTTGACGCCCAAAGCGCGAATGATGCAGTTCCTGGGTCAGGTCTGGCCGAGCCAGTTCAGCGCAGAGCCGCCGTTTGACAGGCACGATTGGTTCGTGCAGAGGAACCTGCCGAATGGTGAGACTGTGGAGAAGAGGTATGTCATTGACTACTATGAGGGCGAGCCGGAGCATGGCATGCCTGTCTTCTATCTCGACGTCAGGCCAGCCATCGACACGCCCAGCCAGGCGGCGGAGAGGGCGGTACGCTGGGGCCGTGACGTTTGGTGGAGAGCAGTTGGTGGCAATATCAGGGAGCAGCTCCAGGCTCAACAGGCCGCCAGCAAGTGAAGCACGGCTGGTTCGGCGGCGTTTTGACGGTGTAAGGGAATTGATCTGGAAGATCAGGCGTCATCGTTCCTTTGTCTTCACTCTGCTCTTCTTATTATCGGGGTTTTGGTCGATGGAATGTCTCATGAGTTTCGTTGTAAATGCTCTTTTGATTTCGGATTGCGTTTGTGCTTCCGGGTCATATACATTTTCTTGTCATCACATTTTTTGGCACAGCTCAGGCTTGACTCTGCATCGTTGTGAGTGCGGTGGGAAGCTTGAATCATATCTCAAGCTCGATGAGAAGTGAGTAGACTTCAGTGCGCAATAGCCACGACAGGTTGACAATGATTGTTAGTCCAGGGCCAGCAAATATCACACCACACGGCGGAGGGACAGCGTCTCGTGGAAGAGGGGTTGTGCGGGAGACAAGTCACAGCAAGGACGGTAACTTCTGCAGGACCCCAGTCCTCTTATCTCCGTCCACCTACGCTAGTGTCACGCAGGCCGCTCGAGCTTGGGGATTGATGATCCAACAATCCGGTAAATTGTGGAGGCCTTATCCATGGGCACGCCGATGTGCTTGGGCTGAGTAAGGATTAAGACGGTGTGTTTGCGGTCGATGTTCTGTAATATCAGGAGTTATGGAGTAATGCTTGGATAGGGCGTCTTGTCACCACTGCCACACAGAAGAAGCACGATCGAGAAGCTCGGCCTTTTGCCCCTGGATGATACTTTTTGACTCGGCATCACCAGGCCCAACATTCGTGGGTTTTATCGATGATGGGCAGCGCCATCAAAGAAGGCACATGCCCATGGCCACGACAACAACAGCCCTCAACCTCTCTGGCCACGGCAAAGACATTGGGGCCGAAGGATTCAATACAATACAATGTCAACGGCGAGTAGCGCCAGGGAGCGATGTTGTGCTCAGCACGCAAGGCGTCTTGCAGATGGCATCAAGCAGCTGCGACGACGCTGATTGGCTGGCCCGAGACACGACAGGGGTACGTCACCCTCCCATTCGACACGTCCCCTTAGTCTGACTTCGGCAGACGCGTTGCAAGTGCTACATATGCCCTTCCATATACCAGATCGACCGCCAGAACTGCCCCCGTATATCACTCGCATGCGCAATCGCCCCACACAAGCCGCTTCGCTGCCCTGTCATACTGCCGGCCGTTTGAGCCCGCCGCGAAGCTAGTGGCCCGCCGCGTGTCTACCATGGAAGAGGATGCCAGACCCCCGGCAGAGGGGTTTTCGGGTGGACCCAAGGTCGATGCCTTTGCGCCTGCGCTGCACAGAAGCATGTCGTTTTTAAGGGCTGCCGTGGCCCCTCTGTCGCGCGCCTGGCCCACGGCTGCCTCATCCATCTTCTCAGTCAAGGACGAACCGTCCGATCTTGAACCGCTGCTTGCTAGCCAAGATGGTATTGTTTGCTTCTCATGATCCCGCACCCCGCCCGACAGACGAACCCTGCGAAAAGAAACCGGTAACCGACTATCTTCAAGACCAAAGCCCGTCGCTCAGCGAGAATGATGAGATTGATTGGACTGCCGCCGAGGAGACGAGTCTCGTGCGAAAGTATGCTTGGTGGTGCCTTGTCCGTCGGCGTGCCGTGCTGACGTCCCCAGACTGGACCTGGTTGTGATGCCGTTGCTCGTGCTTGGCTTCTACGCTCTTCAGTTAGATCGTGGGAACATGTGCGTGCTTCCCCCCTCCCGCTGCCTGTGCTTCTCGTATTGACGCTCCTGGAGTGGAAATGCCTTGACCGATTACTTCATGGAGGACGTGGGCATCACGCAGTTCCAGTTCAACGTTGGCCAGCAGCTCCTCTCCGCTGGCATCGTCATCTTGGAGGTATCGCCACACCAGCCCGGAAACAGTATGGCTTAGTGCTAAGCATTATCAGATCCCAAGCAACCTTGTTCTTTTTCGGATCGGTCCGCAAAAATGGATCAGTGGCCAAATCGTTGCATGGTACGCCCATCCCAACGGTCTGGACTGCCCGTCAGGCTGACGCCATACCAGGGGACTTGTTGCGACTTTCCAAGCCTTCCAGAAGGGTCTAGGAGCATTCATGGTTACCAGGATTCTGCTCGGTCTATGTGAGGCCGGCTTCATTCCCGCCAGTCTCTACACCATCTCCATGTTCTACAAGAGGGATGAGACGAGCAAACGCTTCTCCATATTCTTCTTGGGTAACTTGACTGCCGTCGCAAGCAGCGGTTTGATTGGCTATGGCATGTAAGTGGCAGCTTTCCTGTTTCTGATGAGAGAATACTAATGGTTCAGTCTGCATATGAGAGGAGTTGCCAATCTTGCCGGCTGGCAGTGGCTCTTCATCGTGAGTCCTTTCGCTGGTTCATCCTGGTTTTGCCGTTCCGCAGGCTGACTGGTGTAGATCGAGGGAATGTTCACATGCGTGGTCGGCATTCTCTTCGCCGTCTTGTTCCCCAAAAGCCTCTTCGAGCCCAAGAGCGCCTTTGGGATCCGCTACTTTACAGAGCGCGAAGCAGGCATCCTCCGCCGCCGCATCCTGTTCGACGACCCGCGCAAGCTGCAGAAGAAGAAATGGATCGACTGGGCCGAGCTCCGCCATGCTGTACGCATCCGCGTCCCTCCACTCCACCCGCGAAGCATCACTGACTCTCCAGCTCTGCAACTGGCGGGTGTACCCTCACCTCCTGCTCACCCTGACGGCCATCGCTCCCGTCAGCACGCTCAACTCGTACGCGCCCACGCTCGTCAGCTCCTTTGGCTACGGTCGCCTGGTCTCCAACGCGCTCGTTTCCGTCGGCGGCTGGATCTCGCTAGTCATGAACGTCTCGTGGGGCCTGCTGGCAGACCACTTTGGCCTCCGTGGCCCGCTCGTCCTCCTCGGTGTGCTCATCTGGTGGGCCGTCACCATCGCCAACCGCGCCCTCATCCACAGCGATGACAATCACGCCCGCTACGCCGTCCTCACCCTCGCCCTCTCCTTCTCCATGACCTACCACGCCGTCAACGGCTCCTGGCTCGCCCTCAACGCCCGCTCCGCCGGCGAGCGCAGCATCACCATGGCCCTCTTCATCATGGCCGCCAACGCCGCCGGCATTGTTGGTGGCCAGCTATTCCAGGCCAGCGACAAACCGCTGTACCAGACCGGCTGGACCGTCATCGTCGCTCTCACCAGCATCGGCCTGGTCTTTACCATCCTATCGAATCTGCAGTATTGGTGGTTGAACAGGGGGATTGTCAGGCAGGAGCGCCAAAGAGCCATGGCTGGCGAGGGTATCGTAACGGATGGAGCATTGCATCGCTACCATCAGTAAGCTGCGCATATAGTAGCGTCGTTCCGTGGATTACGGTGGCCATTGAGACGAACCGACTACTGCCAGTTACTACGATCTAGACGAGTGCCCAATGACTTGTCAACCGCCTTGGGTAATCCGCTCGATGTTTCATCATTTCTCCCATCAAGTAGAGATACCTTTCAAGCCTCATCCTTGTTTTCTAGAGTAGACTTAGGGGCTTGAGCGTTTCGTAGACTTTGGATATCCACGTTGCCGAATCACGAGGCACGTCTCTTTGTTGTATCGCCGGTAGCATTTCTCTGCTTGAGCGTTTTTAGCGAGATGCCGAGTTGTGGATGGGGTTAGGTGAAGATCATGTGCATGCGACACACCAGGACGCCTATGGGCTAGTGACCGTCCGGGACGGAATCTTGCAAGGTCGACCGGCAACCTTTTCCACCAAACAGTACCTAGGGTCTTTCCACGGATTGCAGTCGCCGTTCAGACAAACCGGCGGCAAATTTCCGCGTAAGTCGGGCAAGGGGACCGCTCACCGATAGTCACTATAAAAAGAAGAAATAATAGATATAATAATAAGTAATACTAGTAATAAGTATTAAAAAACCGCTAGTACTAGTATAACGTATTAACGAAGGAAAGGACGTCGGGTAAATATCTAGAATAATCGGTCGAAGTAACCACACGTTATAAATAGGCGAAAGATAAGATAAGAGATAAATAATAAAAAGATTAAAAAGAAGAGGTAGTAGTTAGTTTATTATTCTATACTATCTAAAGAAAGTACTTTTATATTATAGTAGATACCGGCCGCTAGTTATAGTCTTAAAAGTATAGATTAAGCTTTTACTACTTTTACTTCTTAATTCTAGCGATCTTATCTTATTAAATACGGTCGAATTCTCTATTACTATAGTATTAAACGGTAAATAAAGATATCTAATAAATATTTTCTCGGTTTTTTTTACTTATTAATAGAGTTATATAAAAATCTATAAACGAATTTAAATTTATTTATTAAACCTTTTATATATCTTATATTATTAGCTATTATACTACTTTATAGCCTAAATTTACTTACTTTAATAAATAACTACTCTAAGCGATAAAAT